GGGGTAGGGTAGTGCAGTTTGGGCAGGGACGAGGGCTCATAGTTCTCCCCGTGGTGCTGACAGGTTCCAGCAGGTGTGTGACCCTCTGGACACTGACTGCTAGCTGTGACAGAAGCTGCAAGCTCGACCTTCCCCATTGACCCCAAAGAGAAGGAAACTGCTGGGCACCGTGACTCGGAAGGTGGCTGGGCTTTGGGACACGTGGGGTGCCACCACACAGGGCCTGGTCTGTGCTCCACGTCCACCACCTGCTGAGTGACCCTGGCTTGTGGGTGGGTCTGGGCAAAGACAGGACTTTTTTCTTCACTCTGCTGCTCTGGAAGCTTTTAAATAAAAAAGTGCTGTTAAAGGAGTGCTGTTGAGCGGGTTAGAAAGACAGAGTTTAGAGAGGGAAACAGAGAGGTGAGTGACGCTCCCTTGGGCAGGGCAGTGTGAGCTCCTGTGGGGAGGTTCTGATGTCCCTGTGTTTACCCTGCACAGGCGTTGCCATGATGAAGTTCAAGAGTCCCCCAGTCAACAGCCTCAGCCTGGAGTTCCTCACAGAGTTTTCCATAAGCCTAGAGAAGCTGGAGAACAACCGGGCCTGCCGGGGTGTGATTATCACCTCTGTAAGTGTTTGCTCCTGTTTGGGTCATTGATCACTGGCAGGGAAGAGCCTTCAGGCAGCTTGGATTGGCTCAGGGAAGAGGGGAGGGGGCCATGATCTTTCTTCTGTGCCCTTTTCTAGCAGAAGAATGACAACCAAGTGTTGTGCTTTGTTATGAAAATCAAATTTGCTTATCTGCCAACTTGACACATCTTGTGACATCTCCTGGCTTACCCACGGAGAGCTGCTGGGAGATGCCAGCGCTTATTTTCAGATGTGGTGTGGGGACAAGGTGGTGCCTGGGAATGGGACAGGACAGGTTTTGTGCTCTGTGGTTGATGTACTCACACAGAGACCCTGACAATGAGAAACTGTGTTGCAAGCAGAGGCCCAGCACTGCAGGCCATGGTAGTGGGATAATCCAGGCTGTGGGAGCACTGGGGAGATCCTTTCAAAGCCCCAAAAGACCCTGATTTATATCAAATATTCTTTACTTTCCCTTCCCTCAAGCTGCCAGATCGAGAGCTGAAGGGTCGTTCCTTCCCTGTAACACTCAGTGACATCTCTTTTCCCAATTCCAGGCTGTCCCCAAAATATTCTCATCTGGCCTGGACATCACTGAGATGTGTGGGAAGAGCGTGGAGCACTACACTGAGTTCTGGAGAGCCGTGCAAGAGATGTGGCTCCGGCTCTATGGCTCCAACATGGTGACAGTGGCTGCAGTGAACGTACGTCCTTTAGGGTGGGATTGTCTCCTGCTGCAGCTGCTTTGGGCTGTGTGGGCAGGGACAACTGAAAAACCAGCCTGAAATTCATCCAGGGATGTATCTGTTGGGGTGTTTGGGTGAAATTCGTGTCTGTCAGTTCTGTGGGGTGTGGGAAGGTGTGGAAGCGTGGGATGCTGCAGGCTCTGTGTAAGCTGCAGGCACTGCTGGGTTACAGCAGCATTTCAGCATTTCCAGCAGGTTTTGGTCCTCCAGCCAGGGTTCTTGGCCAGCAGGGAAGTGCTGCTGGGGTCTCCATGTCCATGGATGGGTCATTTTCATTTTTGGTGTCTTGTTTTCGTTTTCCAGGGTGGTGCTGCCCTGGCAGCTCACAGTGGTGTCTGTCCACTGCCCCCCACTGAAGGCATTTGGATTTTCTCTCAGGCATCCTGTGCAGGGCTGAGTAGCACTGAGCCATGGAAAAGATGGTCACAAATGGAAGGGAAATCTTCCCTGTGAGGGGGGTGAGGCCCTAGAGCACGTTGCCCAGAGCAGCTGTCACTGCTCCATCCCTGGAAGTGTCCAAGGCCAGGTTGGATGGAGCTCTGAGCAATGTGATCTAGTGGAGGTGTCCTTGCCTGTAGCAAGTGGCTTGGAATGAAATGTGCTTTAAGGTGCCTTCCAACCCAAACCCTTCTGTGATTCTATGAAACCCTGATAAACATCAGAAAAATCTTCTTTAGAACCGTTTCGAATCAGGTGGTCAGAAATTTGGGGGACATCTGCTCTGTCTTCCTGGTGTCTGCCGTGCTCTGGAGTGATCAGCAAGGCTGGGGGTGTTTGTAACCATGTCCTGGACTCACTCTGTCCTTTTCTCTGCCAGGGGTCCAGCCCGGCCGGGGGCTGCCTTGTTGCCCTGTCGTGTGACTACAGGATCATGGCAGAGAACCCCAAATTCAGCATCGGCCTGAACGAAGCCCAGCTGGGCATTGTGGCTCCCTTCTGGTAGGCCAGTGCCTCCCACTTCTAGTATCATGTGTAGGTCTCTAGAAAGAATTCATCTTCAAGGAGTTAATTAATCAGTTCAACTGGTGGTGTGGTTTGTGTGTCACGGGTTAGGTATTTGCAGCTGCAGGAGATAACACCTTATGTCTGTTGTGCAGGTATCTGAAAAGCTTTCAGGCTGCAGGAAATCCTCACATCCTGCACCAACAAGGACCTCAGTTCTGGCCCTGCAATTAAGTCCAGAACTAGTGCTGGGGGATCTCATGGTTCAGGCTCAGTCTGGGAATAGGCTTTTCTCTGGGTACACACCGTGTATCTGCAAAACCCAGTGGTGTGGAGATCTCTGAAAGCACTAAGATACTGACACACAGGCCCTTGTTTGCCTAGGAACACGTAAATGTACTGTTGGGAAGGAGCTTTCAGTTACAGCAAGTGGGTATCCACAGGCACTGAGACTAAAAAGAACAGCTTTCATGCAGAGGAGAGGGAGCTCTCTTGGGGTACTACCAAAAATGTTTTTTCTCACGTGATTTTCACATTGTGACTGAGCCTACAGCTGCTGTTCAGAGCACCAAACCTGAGGAGTGGGACCAGGATGCTTTCAGAGCCTTGAGCCTGGGGAGTGGGACCAGGGTGCTGTCAACTCTTGATGTCTGGGTGAGCTGCCCTTGAGTGTGGCTTTCCCTCCCATCTCTTGCAGGTTTAAGGACACGTTTGTGAATGTTGTGGGACACCGAATTGCTGAACGCTCCCTCCAGCTGGGCTCCCTCCACCCTGCACCTGAGGCCCACAAGTTGGGCCTTGTGGATGAGCTGGTGCCAGAGGAGAAGCTCATGGAGAAGGCTGCAGCTGTCATGGCACAGTGGCTGGCCCTTCCTGGTAAATCTCTGGCAGAAGAGGAGACCTGGTCTGAGTGGGAAGCACAGATGCCAGGGCTGGTGCTAGGGGAGCTATGTAACAGTTTCCATTAAAAGGGGAGGTCTGGTTTGCTGGGAGGTAAGAAAGCTCAACTCAGCGGTCCCAGCAACCTTGGGCTAACGGAGAGGGACACTGTGCTAACGTTCAGGACACGTGGCTCCAGCTCAGCTCATCCTGCCAGCCCTGCTGAGTCAGTCTGGAGATGTCTGAGCTCCACAGACAAACCAAATCTCTGCCTGTCAGTGGAGGTGTTAGCCCAGGAAAGCTGCCATGGAGTGAACAGGCTGGGTGAGAGCTCCTGGGTGGTTGCCAGGCTGCTTTTGTGGTCTGAATCAACTCTTGGCAGTCTCGATGGCAGTGATGGGGGTGTGGATGAGGACAGGCAGACAGCACAGGCATCGTATGTTTGGGCTGCTCTGTGACTGCAGCACAAGGTTCCTGAGCTGGAAGAGGGCTCTGCACAGATCTGAGCTCTCCCAGCTCATGCCACCTCACCCCCCAGGCTGGGGAGCATGTCTCAGCTGTGCCCTCTCCTGATTTCCAGGAGGTGCTGTGGAGATCCTTCCCCTAAATCAGAACTGTGTCTGGGTGGAGGTGGCTTCAGCACCCGAGTGCTGGAGCAATTCAGGATTCCCAGTGTGTGGATGGGGGGAGTCGCCATTTCATTGTCACTGAGTGCATAAATAAAACATCTGTGCAGCAGATGTGCTGCCACATTGCTGCACCTGGCTCTGTGAGGGTGTGAGCAGATGTGTGCTGCAGACCTCAGCTCCACCAGCCCCTGCTGCTCCAGCAGCATCCACATATCCATGTGGAATGGCACAGGCCCAGGAATGAGCTCCAGGGAAGTGTTGCTGGCCTTTGTACAGCGTGGTGCACAGGAGCAGACTGTCTTGCAGGGATTGAAGGGATTGGTTCAGTGGAGCATCGAGCCACAGCAGTTTCAAATAAGAAGGAATTTTGTTTGGTTACTGATGTGTATTGGAGGTAAATATAGAGCTCTGGAGGGCACAGAGAGACGGAGGTACACAACCTTTTATCATCTTTGCCAGTAGATCAGTCATTTCCCCACTGAGCAGTACGACCATAATTTATTGTATGAGAATTTATCCAGTTCAGCTCCCAGCTGATGGGTTTTTCTTACCCCTTTCCCTGCTGCTTTCAAGAGCACTTTGCTGTGTGATCCCTCCCCATTAGACTTGCATTTGGTGGCATTGAGAGCTGGTCAGGGATGAGGACAGGGCATGTTCCTCATCGTTGCTGTCCTCTCTGCAGACCATGCCCGCCAGCTCACCAAGACCATGATGAGGAAGGCAGTGTTGGACCGCCTGGTAGCTCACCGGGAGGAAGACATCAAGAACTTCATCACCTTCGTCTCAAAAGAGTCCATCCAGAAGTCCCTCCGCATGTACATGGAGATGCTGAAGAAGAGGAAGAGCTGAGGATCCAGCTGGTCCCTGGGAGGTCGAGTCACCCTCTGAAACGCTGCAGTAGCTGTTGGTCTCACAGCGAAGCCACCTGCAGTGCCAGCAATCGGTGACGTGCCACCTGCTCCCACGGCCACCCCAGCTGCCCCTTCCCTCTGTGCCTGTAGAGTGCCTGACACCATGCTGCCTTCCCCAAGGGCAGGGAGAGCCCACTCAGCCCCCCGAGGAATGGACAGGGACAGGGTCTCAACACGTTGTGGCCCGAGCCTGACGGTCCTTGGATGTCCTCCCTCCTGTTGATCAACAGTTAATCGTGAAATGAGGTTTGTCAATAAATCTTCAATGAGGTAGGAGATGGATCCTTCGTTGGCTTGTCTGTGGTCACAGTGGCCTGGCTGGTGGCCTGTCTAGGCTCTGGTTCATGGTGGGCAGGGGAGTCTGGGCACAGCCAGCTGCCATCCTTCTCCAGACCAGCATCTGAGGCAGCCCATGCACAGGACTTGTGGATGGGGCTGAGTGGAACACATTCATGGGGATTGGTGGTAGAAGCTGGAGCTGGATCCTGGTCTGTGGCTGCAGGAGGAGCTCAGGCTGCCAGCTTCACCTCGACTGGGTAGTGATCGCTGACTGCCAGGGCCTGGAGGAGGGCAAGAGGTGGGAGATGTTCAGTGAGCCACTCACCCCTCGCTGTGCTGCTGAGACTGGCAGGGCAGTCAATTGCCCTGCCAGAACCTTCTGCCTGCTGGAGGGGCCACATGTGCCCAACCCCAAGACACTCGACACACAAGGCTCTAGTCTTGGCATGTCTCATGGAGAGGTGCCCAGGCATGGCTTGGGGTGGGTGCTGGCAGGGGGCCACTTGCCCTCCAAGCCCCCATGTCTGGGGCATCTGTGGCCTCTGTGCCAGTGATGGGTGGTTGAAGGCTGGCTTGGGTTACCCCATACCTTGAGTCCTGCCCATGGAAGACAGTAAAAAACCCTGTGCATCTCTTCTCTTCCCAATGGGACAGGCAGTGACCTCAACTCCCTGTTTCCCCCCTTGGAAACCCTGAGCCCCTCAAAGAGACAAGGACAGCCCTGCAGTCTGGGCCAGCTCAGCTTTGGTGCCTGCTAGAGCCCCAGATGTGTGATCCAGGCTCACCTCCTCCTGGTCCAAGTGGAAAGCACGCTGGAAATTGTAGATACCAGCTGAGTTGGACACGATGCTTCTCTTCAGCTTGTTGCCACACACCACGATCCTGTTGGGGAGATGTGGGTGGGTGGTGAGTGTCACTCCCTGCTGGCAGGGCAGGCAGGGGGTTGCTGGGGTGCCAGGGAAGGGGACAGGGGTGGTGGCAGCGCTCACCTGTCATAGGCACAGTCTGACTTGCCCACGGTGGTGTCAGCGCTGTCGGGGATCAGCCACTTGAAGATGTCGCTGGTGCGCAGGCGGATGGATGACCAGTCGCTTGGCTGGACGTAGGAGCAGTCAGCGTTGAAGTCTCCCAGGAATATCATGTTCTACAGGGGAGATGGGAGGCTCGTGATGTGGGTGATGGGCTGTTCCTGCCACCAGCCCTCCCGTGGGGATGGCAGGGACCACCCTATCACGGGGCAGGAGCTGGGTTCCCACTCCACCACTCCCGCACCAGCTGCCTCAAAGCAGGGTCCCAGTGTGGGTCAAACAGTCCCTGCAGCTCGGTGCCCAAGCTCCATGCCCCCCCACAGTGCTGGTGACACTCACATCAGTCCCCCACTTGTTGATGATGGCCAGGTAGACATCGTAGAGCGCATCAATCTCAGCGACAGCATCATGTGGGGCTGAGTGCAGGGGCACCAGCACAAACTCCTTCGCCTCTGCCAGGGGAGAAGGATGTCAGCCCCACAGCCACCCCATGCCACAACCCATGGCCACTTGTTCTCCCACTTACTGGTGCTGGGTGCTGAGACCCTCAGGATGAATGGCTCCCTGCTGAAGACATCCTGGGGGTCCTTGTATTGGTAAGTGTCCACCACAGACACAATGTCTGTCCTGTGGAAACAAAAGGATGATGACCCTGGGACTTGGCACAGGCCCTGGATCCCCTCCGTGGTGCTGGTGGCCCTGCAGTGCCGTGGCACAGTCAGCAGCACTGCCAGCCCCATTACCTGTAGATAAACAGGTACATCTCCTTGTAGTTCTCCCGTCCCAGAGGGCCACTGATCTCGTAGTCATATGGGGATTTGGATGCACTGCAGAGGCAAAAAGGCAGGACAGTGACGTGGCTGGGACCATCCTGGATTGGTTTTGGTATGTCCAGGGGCTGGGTGACCCCAGGGTTTGCACCAGCTGGTCCTGTTCCACAGTCTCCATGGGTCACTGCGTCCTAGTTGTGGGGTGACATGAGCTATGGCTGCTCTGAAGGAGCTCTGAAGCCCCCAGTGCCTCTCCCCCAGGTGGCTCCTTGGGCACAGCATGACATGGGGTGGCTCCTACTGCCTTTCCTCTGCAGGGACATTCCTCACCTTCATTTGCAGCAAAGCTAAATTAGGTCAGTGAGCAGCCTGGGGCTCTGCAGCAGCCAGCGTCACCCTCCCTGCCCTGGCTGCTTTGTGGCCACGCTGGAGGGGACACGGAAGGGGTGAGGACATGGGCTGGGCACTCTTGCTCAGGAGCACTTGCAGCCTTTAGACACGGCAGCAACAGCTTCCGCATGGTCCTGAGCCGTGCTCTCCCCTAAAACAGGGTCAGCACCCAACCAGTGAAGGGGCTGCCACCCTGCTGTGGCCAGTTTTAGCCCACCCCAGCACCCCCTTTTCCTCCTAGGGTACCAGAACCACCCCCCTCAAAGCATCATCCACTTCTGGGTCTATCCCGGGGTCCCCCTGCCACTCACAGGGTCTTGGGGTGCAAGATCTGCCTGTCCCTTCCTCCTCCTCTCTTGCTTCTGCCCTGTTCTGTTGGATTTTGGAGACTGAGCTTGCCAGATCTGTAGCTTCTTTCCATCCTGCATGCTCTGATGAGCTTACAGCTTTCAGAAGGGATTTGTATCACTTGTATCCCCATTCCCTTCACTGGGTTATTCCCAGTGTTGTTTTCAGTACCTCCTTGCCCTAGAATGTTTCTCTTATTCTTCTTTCCAAAAATAAATTCTGTTGATGGCCAACTTTTTTTTTCCTCTTACTGCTCAGGCAGCTTGGCTTTCCTTGCTGGTGCTGCCATCCCATCCCCAGCCCCTCTCGTACCTGTTGAGCTGCTCCATGAGCTCGGTGACGGCGCTGAGGTCGGAGTCGCGCACCTCCTGCACCAGCACCACGTCGTAGCGGCTCAGGACCTGCGAGGCCGAGAGGGACAGCTCAGGGCCAGCCTTCCACCCATCTCCCAGCCAGGCACATGGCTCTGGCTTCAGCACCAGGGGGATTTGCATGTCCCTTGGTGCTAAGGCAGATATCTGCAGGGAGGGCTCAGAGGGTGCCTGACACCCCACCAAGCCTTCATCCACCCAGGCCGTCCCCAGCATCACGATGCCATCACATCCCTACATGTCTCTGGCACAGGAGCTGTGTTGGGGCTGGTCCCAGCACACAGCCCATCCCCACGGTGCGCTGACTGCACTCACATTGATGATGATCTCTGCCACTTCCTTGTTGGACATCTTGGTGTCACCGAAGGCCTGGATGTTGAAGGCACCGATGCGCAGCATGGCAGTGGCTGGGCACAGCAGAGCCACAGCCAGCAGGGACAATTCTAGTGTCACAGGCCTCATTCTTCCAGGATCAATGCTGGGTCACAGGGATGCAGGGATGGGAGATGAACTCGGAACACTATTTTGGATTTGGGGTAGAGGAAAAAACATGTAGATCCTTCCAAATTCCAGGAGTGTGACAGTGTGTCATGGCGGGCATTGCCCAGAGCAGGCTGCGGAGCTGGTGTGGGCAGTCTGCCAGCTCACTAGTCCCAGAAGAAGATAAATCCTGTCCCACCACTGTGAGTCTGCCCGTCCCAGCTCCAGGGATCACGCAGCTCCACTCCCCCACCAGGATGTCTTCACTGCCTAGCAGCCCCATCCACCACTGCCAGCATTCCAGGCACCCCAGGCTGTTCTACATCCTTAAACTTCACCACAGCCCCCACTGCTGCGGTAAGGAGCGACTCCTCATCCCAACTCGTCCCAGTTCATCCCAGTCTCACCTGGTTGGCAGTTGAAGGCGCTGAGCCCGGATCCGTCCTTACCTTGCTCAATGCACAGCACCTCTGCTCTGCTGGCAGCAGGATGGGTGGCTTTATTCCCAGTGGAGGTGCCGGCAAAGCAGGATGAGTCGGACACCCCCTGGGGGTTTTGGCATGACTTTGAGCTCCTTCCCACATTGGGAAACCAAAAATCCCACAGGGTGACAGGGTGGGGCCAGCCCAGCCATCCCTGTGCTGACACAGCAAAGGACAAACAGGGAGACGTGGAAATGCAGGGGCATCCCTGTGGGACTGATGGGTATGTGGGACTTGGGGGGCTGTCATCTGGGGTCACACCTGGATCACAGATTGGGCACAGTGGCCAGGCAGGAGGTGAAGGGCGCTGGCCTTAATTGGGTGATTCAGATGGTGTAATTAGAGGGAAGAGAAGGAAATGGCCAGTGTCTGGGTCAGGCAGGTGAGCACCACCAGCCACAGCGAGAGGGGATGGCTGCAAACCCCTGCAGAAGCCCCAGTGTCACCCAGAACAGTCCTGCTGGTGACCCAAAGTGGCCCCAGGAGGGCTGACATTCCCCATGCCAGTCCATGGTATCACTATGGCCCATGGCATCACCCCAGGATGACAACGGAGCAGCTGGCTCTGACGGCTGCTCGTGCCAGGACTTGCCAGGCTCTCATGTGCACCGCCAGGTTTTGTATCCTCACACCCAGTCTCGGGATGAGTCCTGTGTCCCTCGGTGCTGTGTCGGCACCGAAACCCCCTGGGAAGCACCAAACCCCCTGGGAACTGACTCACGTCCTCCCCGCACCCTCACTGTCAGCACCCTGTCAGCAGCCCCACAGCCAGGCAGGCTGTGTCAGGATGTGGCCCTGTGAGCTGGAGGAAGAGCATCCTGTACCCTGGAAAGCCTGGGGCCCCCAACCCCTCCCCACAGTCCCCAGGTGGCTTTTGCCACCGTCAGCTGAGAGGGAAGCAGCGCTCACCACCCCATGGGTCCAGGTCTCTCATGGCAGAAGGTCCCCCCGCCCTGGGGACCTCCCTGTCTCTCTGGCAGGGGACTGAGGGGCTGGGAGCACCAGGGGCTGCTTGGGAGACTGGAGGGACCTCACTTCCAGAGATGCAGAGGCAGGGAAAGGCTCATTTTTAATGGAAGCAGAAAGCTTAACACTTCCACAAGAGCTCAAGAACTCCTTGCAGAGGCAGTGGGCAGCTTGGCTGGCACCAGTGGTGTGTGGGCTCCCACAAGGGATGCAGGTGTGTGCTGAGGTGTCCTGGTAGCCATTGGTGCAGGGACAGGCTCAGTTGGCTTTCAGGGTCACCTCCACTGGGAAATGGTCGCTGACAGCCAAAGCCTGCATGTGAGGGAGAGCAGAGTCACCCTGACCAGAGTCAACTCACAAACCCTCAGCTCATCTGGACTCACTGCCACTGTCATGGCTGGGACCCCAACGCTCCACTCCAACCCCCAACATTTAGACCATACCCCAAAATGCTCAATCTGGAGGGTTGATTTGGTACAACAGCTGGGGTCAGGCTGCCCTTAGGTGCGTCCTTGGGAACAGGGAGCCCTCCCATGCTCCCAGGAGCTATGGTGGGGCAGATCCCAGTGCTGGTGGACTCATGCCCCACCCAGCCCCTCACTCACATCCTTGATCTGGAGCTGGAATTTCTTCTTGAAGTTGTTGACGGTGGCCGAGCCAGGTTCGATGTCTTGGCGCAGGGCGGTGCCGCAGGCGACGATGCTGCCGAGGCATCAGGGTGGTGTTGGTGCCCATCAGTCCTCCCCATGCCAGTCCTCCCCATGCCAGTCCTCCCCATGCCAGTCCTCCCCATGCCAGTCCTCGCCATGCCAGTCATCCCATGCCAGCCCCTGCCACGGCACCCACCGGTCATAGGCGCAGTTGGTGGTGTCGGCCACAGTGGTGTCGGTGCTGTCGGGGATGAGCCACTCGCAGGCGCTGAGGGAGCGCAGGCGGATGGACGGCCACTGGGAGCTGGTCACGTAGGAGCAGTCAGCGTTGAAATCACCCAGGAGGATTATGTCCTGCAGGGCAGAGCACCGAGTCCCTGCACACACACCTTACAGGGCAGCAAGAGCTCCCTAAAATTTTAAGGGGTGGTTACAAATCCCCCTGAGGTGAACCTGGTGTGCAGGGACAAGCCCCCAGTAATGGCAGGAGGGCCTCCAGCAGCTCCCTGCCTGGAAGCTGCTGGGGTGGCACCTTCTCTGATGGGTACAAGAGGCCTCCTGTGGGACATGTTCATCCCACCTGCCCACCTGGCTGCCCTGAGGAGGAGCAAAATTGCCAAACTGCTTACATTAGTTCCCCACTTGTTGATGACATCAGTGTAGACGTCGTAGAGTGCATCGATCTCTTGTGCTGCATGGCTGGGCTCAGAATGCAGAGGCACCAACACGAACTCCTGTACCTCTGCCAGACAGCTGACCATGACCATCAGCCCCTGGCTTGGGTGCAGCCCCTGATCAGGGATTGGGAACCCCAGGAAACCACCCCAGGCCAAGCCCAGCAACTGGCCAGGAAAAACAGTTGAAGGGAAAGGGTGTGTTGAGTTTGGTACTCTGCCTGTCCCTCAAACTGGAAATTCCAGTGGGAAACTGCATGCCTTTGTGAATTGTTTGGGGTTTGCTGTTTGTTTCCCATTAGCATTTCCAAGCCAATACGGTTTTGGGCAGGGGATGGGATAGTGTGTGTGCCCTGAGGAGGTTCTCAGGAGGTAGAGGTGATGGCATGGGGTAGGCAGTGGAACAAAATGGGAAATGGGATATGATGGGAGATAGAAGGGATGTGGGATGACAGGCGATAGGAGATGGTACATGATGGGGGATGGCACCCAGCCAGAGGAAGCAGATGGTGGAATATAACACAAGATGGGAGGTAGCACATAATGGGATGTAGGACATGATGGGAAGCAGCTGGAGAGGTAAGATGGCACACAACTAGAGAGAACTCATGGTTGGAGATGATGGGAGGTGTTTGGTAGGAGATGGCACATGATGGGAAACAGCTGGCCATGCTGGGCAGGGACATAGGATCCCTGGGCATCCATGGGTGGGACTCTGGTGGCAACCCCCCTGTGCTTGGCAGGCACAGATCTGGGCTCAGCCCTGCTTGAAGGGGACCCTGTACCAGGCCTGGGAATCCCCCAACATTGGCTCTGCTCACGTGTGGTGGGTGAGGAGAATTTCACAATGAAGGGCTCCCTGCTGAAGGTATCGTTCCCACAGGGCTCACAGCCATCATCATAGTAGTAGCTTCCCAGCACAGAGACCATGTCTGACCTGAGGGAGGAGAGCAGGGCAGCCCCAGCACTGCTCCTGCCACAGGCAGGGCCCCCAGAGGTACCCAACCCCTTTGGAGGCTGCTGAGGCAGGCAGCAGGTAGTGCCTGGCAGCATCCCTTACCTGTAGATGAAGAGGTACTGCTCCTTGTAGCTGGTTCGACCCAGGGGGATGCTGACCAAAAAGCTGTATGGGTGCCTCCCAGCACTGGGTGCAAGTTGTGGAGAGGGTGAGAGGAGGCTCCTGGTGCTTTCCAGCATCCATCAGGCTCTCTCCAGCTGAGCCAGAGGTGCCCTGGCATGGCTGGAATCCCTCCCAGAATCCCCTTTGCAGTCACTCCCACACCAAGCCTTTGGGGTCACCTGTTGAGCTGGTCCATGAGGTCATTCACAGAACTCAGGTCAGCATCCCGGACCTCCTGCACCAGAACGACGTCGTACTCCGACAAGATCTGGGGGAACAAGCTCAGAGCTGCTCTTCCCTGGCCATGGTTGCCTGTTCTGGGCTGCAAAGGCTCCCAGGCTGGCAATGGGAGGGCAGTAGGGACCTCGGGGCCATGGGGGGACTCCTGTGTTAGTGTGCTCTGGCTTGGAAGGGCCCTGTCTGTCCACCACCCACCCACCCAGCAGCTGCTCCAAGGGAGGAACCTGGGCAGCATTAAACGTCACCCAGGCTTGACTGGGGACCAGCAAGAGTAGAGATGGCCTGAGGTGGGAGATGGTGATGGGGAAGAGCAGATGGGTGGGTAGATGAAGGCTTGGACCTATGGATGGATGCATGGATGAAAGGATGGCTAAAGATGTGTACGAAAGGAGGCATAGCTGGATGGACAGGTGGATGGATGAATGAGTGGATGGGCAGCTGGTTGGTTGGGTGGAGGGATGGAGGTATTGCATGAGGAGATGTGGACAGGTGGATTGGTGGTGCGTGGGTGGATGGATGGATGGATGGATGGATGGATGGATGGATGGATGGATGAAGGAAGCAGGTGTCCCACTGCCCAAGCTGGCTGCATCCCAAAGAGCAGAGCATGGCCAGGCCTGCTCCCCCCACTCACAGAGACGATGATATTTGCCACGGTCTGGTTGGACATCTTGGTGTCCCCAAACGCTTTGATGTTGAAGGCACCGATCTTCAGCGTGGTGGCCACTTGCAGCAGGACAGCTGCCACCAGCAGCGACAACACCAGCCTCGAGGCTGCCATCCTGTGCAGAGGTGCAGGAGGGGCTCAGCTCTCCTGGCTGGGAGAGGGATTTGGGACAGACAACAGGGATGACCGGGGTATTCCCACTGGCCATACTGGTTTCACTGGGAGGTGTCTGTTTTCTGGGGAGCCACCAGGATGCAGGAATTGTACACCTGTGTTGCATGGGGCCTCATCCTACCTGTCCCTCCTGGAAGGAGGCCAGATCACTCACAAGGCTGGAGTGGAAAATTCACTGGCAAACAAATAAATGCCCTTTCATGGTGACACAGAGCAGTCACTTCCTCATTCCCCATGAGGAAGAGCTCAGCCTGGACACCTCTTCTGGCCTGAGATTGGTGGCAGTGGCCGCGGACCCCAAATTCCCTTGGCTTGTGCCTCTCCTACCTTTCCCAAATCAGTGCCAGAGACCCCAAAGACCCTACAGCAGCCGTGCTGGGACAGAGCAAGTGATGGATCCTCCCTGATACCCCTCCCCACCTTCCTCACTGCCTGGAGCATTGTCACCTGCGGTAACCTGCCCCTCCCATACCCCTCCTGTACCCCAGCAGTGCCCCTGCCCCATCCTCACCCAGGCTGGCTGCCTCAGGACCCTCTGCAAAGGCAGTGCTGCAGCTCTCACCCACGGGGAAGGTGTTTGGGAAGTATTTCCCGTGGCACTCAGCTGCCACAGGTAATATTTCACCAGCATGTGGGATCTGAGCCGTGAGCCCTGCCCAAACCTGGGTTCCTGAATCCCTAAACTCACCCAGAGCCTGATAAATGGGCTGAGAGGATGGGTAAATGCTCCAGCTTTTGGCACACCAAATCTCAGCCTGAGGAAGGATTTGCTAGCCCCAGGCTCACTTTTCCTTCTGGGGCAGCTGCTCTAGTTAATTCCTCACTTTTCCCACTTCAACTCTTGCTGCAAACTCTTCCCTCTAACACCACAGTCCCTTCAGCTGATAACGCGGAGATTCGGCAATGCCATGATTTGGTCATACCAAAAATTGCCCAAAGCCCCATAAATCGTCCCCACTCCTGGAGAGCACAGCAGCCTCTGAACCTCCCAGGCAGAGGCACCTACAAGGAGCATATTCATCCCTGAGCTGCACCCAGGTTTGGCCCAGCAGAGCATTGTGGCAAAATTAAGTTGAGCTGGAGGAGATGACACTGCCAAGGGGAGCTCCTGGGGGGTGCAGGAAGAGAGGGGAGCAGGACCTACCTTTGATGTCGTCCGAGGATTCTGGAAGGAGAAGGATTTGCACCTGCATTTATGGAGAGGGACACCCTCTCCTTGCCAAGTGGTTGCCCAACCAAGGATCATGTGAGGCCGCAGGCTCCATATGGCATTTCTCACGGAAGCAAAGGCACAAGTCTGCTCAGTGAAAAAAGAACCCTTTCAACCTCTGCCAATGCCTCCCATCACAGGTAAGACCGAGAAGGGATTAAAATGCCCACAAGAGCTCTGCAAGGTGAAACAAATCTCAGAGATGGCTCGTGGGGATCAGCAGCTCCCCAGTATGTGGCATGCACAGCTCTCACTCATCACTAGATACAAATTCTCTTAAAAAGTGTTTATTTCACCACGATGATTCATTCCCATCCAGCACCCCACATTTCCTAGGGCCAGCAGGAGCCATCCCAGTGTGGTCTTTGAGTGCGAAGCCGAAAGTCCCCAAAAAATGACAAATTGCTGCCATGGTGCCCATGCCCAGACCCTCCCCAGGAGGTCACCTGGCTCAGGCCCCTCCCTGAGGCAGTGCTGGAGGGTGGCAGCCCTCCACCCCACCCACAGCTCACCCAGCCCTGTCCCAACGGCCTTGGCTGATATCCTGGCACTTCCTGCCTCCAAAGGCAGCTGCTGTGTTTCCCAGGAGAGGCCCTGCAGTGTGCAGTGATCTTTAGGGGGCTGGGGGGCCCTGTCAGCCCCTCCCCTGGAGCCAAGCACCCTCCAGAGAAAGAGGTGCCCTGCACAGTGGGATCAGGGCTGGGCCTGGACCCCCCAACAGGCTCCCCAGGTTGGACCCAGGGCCAGGGTTCTCCAGCCAAGACCCTTCATGGTCAATCCCTGTTCAGGTCAGGAATCCCCCCAGGGGCCAGACGCAGGACCCTCCTGAGCCAAGACCCCTCAGATCCTGTCTCACCCAGGCTAAGACCCCCTCAAGGTAGAGTCCCAGGGCTTAACACTACTTCTAGGCCAAGACCCCACAAAGATCAGCCCCCTTTCATGCCAGGACCCCCAGAGCTGGACCACCCTCAGGGCCAGCTCTCTCACAAGTCAAGACTCCCTGAGTCAGCCCAAGGACCAGCCCCCAGGCTCGATGTCCCCTCACGTCCAGACCCTTCCAGGCTGAGCCCTCTGACTCAACCCCAGCACCAGCCTCCGGGGCCTGGATCCTTCCAGGGCCAAGACCTCCTCAGGGCCAGGCTCCTTCCAAGGTTGAGCCCCGCTGTCTCAGTCCCTCAGGGCAAGCTCCCCCATGTCCAGGTCCCCCGGCCCAAGCACCCCTGCCCATCCCCAGGCCCCTCCCGGCAGAGACCCCCCGCGGGCGGGCCCGCCAGGGGGCGCTGCCGGCGGCGGCAGCGCGTGATTGTTTTTGTCCTGGCCGGGCCGCCGTAGGTCCCGCCTGTCCGCGCCGCCGAGGGGAGGCCGCGCCGAGTGGGACCGGGACCGGGACCGGGCCGGGCCGGGCCGGGGCCATGAGCGACATCCGGCACTCGCTGCTGCGGCGGGACGCGCTGAGCGCCGCCAAGGAGGTGCTGTACCACCTGGACATCTACTTCAGCAGCCAGCTGCAGAACTCGCCGCTGCCGCTCGTGGACAAGGGCCCCACCGATCTGCTCGAGGAGTTCCTCTTCCAGGTCCCCAAGGAGCGCGGCGCGCCGCCCAAGGTGGGACAGGGACACCCCGGGCGGAGCGGGACGGGCCCAGGAGGTGCCGGCACAGCCGGCGAGTGGGGTTGGAGGGCAGGCCCCAGGAGTACAAGACAGGATCCCTCCTGGAGCCTGAGGTCTCAGAGCAGGACGGGCTCCCTCCGGCGCGGGCTGCTGCTGGGGGCTGAGGGCTGAGATGGACAGGATTGGGTCTGTGAGACTCTGCTTCTGGAGACTGAGGCTTCAAGACTACAGCATGGGGTCCCTGGGGTGCTGGTGACAGTTTTTTTGGGAGGGAGGGGGCTGGTGGCAAGTTCCTGATGGATGGGCCAGGATTCCAGGCCCCGAGGAGGTGTGGTGAGCCTCGAGGCCTGGGGACTGCCCACAGCTCCCGAGTGCTGCAGCTGGGCCCTACCAGGATTTTTGGGGGACTCAGAGAGGAGCAGTCAGAAACCACAGCTGCTGGTGACTATTGGGGTATATGGCCCTGCACCCTTCAGTGCTGCTGAGTCCAGCTCTGCCCCCCCAGTTGCTCAGCAGTGTCCTCAGTGCTGTTATTTGCAGAGGTAGGAAATATTTTCTCTCTCCAGCAATGTCAGTCTCATCTCTCAGTTGGTGGGCATCACTTGCAGGTGCAGCAAGCACCAGCTTTGGATATCCAAGTGTTCAAATGAAACCTGGAGCTTTTCAGTGTCACCAGATAAATGCAGTGGTGGTTCAAGAAGCTTGAATGTGTGTGCTGTGCATAAAGATTGAGTCCCTCAGCCCAAAGGGAAGCTCTCAGCCTTTACTGTTCCTGTCTTTTCACTTGGTTTGTGGTCCTTCAAGAGGCTCAGTGTATTTTACTGCTTTGCTTTTGTTTTCTTTCAGAGACTGACCCCACTTCAGGAACTTCAGCTCCTTGAGATCATGTGCAATTATTTCCAAGAGCAGACCAAGGATTCAGTCCGGCAGGTCATCTTTTCATCTCTCTTCAGCCCCCAAGGAAACAAAGCAGATGACAGCAGGATGGCTTTGCTGGGGAAGCTGGTTTCCATGGCAGTGGCTGTCTGCAGGGTTCCTGTGCTGGAGTGTGCTGCCTTCTGGCTGCAGGTACAGCTCCTGTGCAGGCAGGGATGCCTTGGGGAAGAGGTCAGGGCATGCTCCAGAGTGGGCACAGTGAACGTGGGCACAGCTGGGCACAGTCAGCTGCTCCTCCCTGGCAGTTGCAGCTGCCCCCGTGTCTGTGCTCGTGTCCATTCCTGTGCTCTGGCATCAGGGAGAGCTTTGCCAATCTATTAATGTGCTGCAATGGAAGAAAGAAATTGTTTGGGGTTGTTTTTTTTTTTACTGTCAGTACAAGTTTTAATAATCCCCCCCAAACCTTGCATATTGAAAGGGCTCACTGGAGGGTTTGACCAACACAGGGAACAGATCTTGGCAGTTATGGTCACGTTGCCTGAAGAAGCTGACTCTGGATTTTGGGAAATAAACCCTTCTTGATGTGCAGGATTGTGTGTGGAAGAGGCAAACCCCTGTCTTGAAATTTGACACAAAATACCTGTGTCTTATCTTCTATGAATGCAGTAGGTTTGGGATCTTCTCCCTCTTCTCCTTTCCCACTGAGATTCCCCACTGTGGGCTTTGGGAAGTCCACCTTTGTTCCTGCTGCCCTTGTGGGATGTGCAGAAGTCAAAGTTGACACAGGGGCAGGAGCAGGAAGGCTGTGCTAGGAGGGAAGGTGGGAAGAGGCAGACCAGCACTGTTTCCTTGGGGTCCCTTTTCTCCCACATGAAGGTGAGCCTTTGGGAGGGCAGGGTGGGATATAACCTGGATAGCAGGAGAAGGTGTATTTTTATTTCAGATGGCAGCTCTTAAGTGATGTGAGGATTCCACAAAATGTTTTCCACATTAAAAATATCAGGCGTGGCAACTGAAGTGGTTGCTTTGAGGCTGAACTAGTTGCACTACAGACCTGTGTTAGAATCATGGAATCATGGAATGGTTTGTCATGGAAGGGACCTTAAAGCTCATCCCATTCCACCCCCTGCCATGGGCAGGGACACCTTCCACTATCCCAGGTTTCTCCAAGCCCTGTCCAGTGTGGCCTTGAACACTTCCAGGCCAGGCTGGAGAAGCGACAGCTTCTGTGGGCAATTTATGCCAGGGCCTCACCATCCTCACAGGGAAAAAATGTTGCTGAAGTAGTAAAAAAAAATCTCTAAGTCAAAATATTGATCTAAAAGGTTTCAATTTTAAGTCACAGATACCGTAAACTCAAAATAGCACCATCTCTTTTAATATTGCAATGCATTGATTTTATTTCTATTAGAGTGAGTTTTGATGTGCTGAGAGAGAGCAGCCACAGTGCCATGTGGGGAAGGGGGGGACACGGGCATT